GATGCAATGACCCTCCACGCGGATCGAGGATAAGGAGTTAAAAGAAGCCCTTATGCGAGCGCTAAGAAGCAGAAATTGCTCTTGCTCGGTCACCGGTAGTAAGAAACAAATCCCACTTGTACTAAATACGACCTCTCGGCAAGCAAAAGCAGTAAGAGAGAAAGCCTCTCCTTGTCATAAAAGGTAGTGATGTGCTTAAAGTAAAATCATGTTTGCGAAAGGCTTCCCCCATTAGTTTTTTAGACTCATGCTAAATTAATTGCTTATGATTGGTGTGAGTAAGCCAGATTGTCCTCACGAGATATGCACCTCACTGATGTGGTTAGATTCTCCTAATAACTGTTGCACCATAAGTTGTTAATCACCCGCTACCGACGATCGAAATTGATTGTTGCTATTTGAGTTTTTGATGGATTTGAGTCAGTCAATGGTAGTGGTTGCAAAGAACTTGAGTGTGGGGTGAAAGGTATGACCATGAAAGCACAACTCGTCCGTTGAGAAAGAAACTACTGATTACAACAAGAGTACAAGGAAATTTTGTGTTTTGCTTTGAATGTTTGATTAGTGAGTCTGTGGTGTGTCATTGTTTTGGGATGATTATTAGTGTCTTTTGAGTCATTGCTTAGGGACAAGCAACAATTGAGTGTGGGGTTGTGATATTCGGGTTAAATATATCGGATTCTTGGACTTTATGTGATTATCTCATGGTATGTTTTAGCCAATTGGTGCTATTTTAGGGCTTCCTAACCCGAGAATGGTTGAAAAACCATTACTGCCTAGTGCTATGAGTGTGATGTATTACAGGTGAAGAAAACACAAAAAAGAAGTTGCACCGGCAAAACATTTCTCGAAAGCTGGGCTTAAAGCCCACCTGGAAAGGGATTAATGATATGGGCCAGGACCAATTCGCTGGCGGTGTAACAAAGAATTGATGGGCTAGGGAATTGGATACGGAACAAGCAATTAATGGGCCAGGAGGCGGAATTGGATTGAGAACGAACTGGGGGGACAGAGGCAATTTGGGTCGCACTGTATTTTTGGGTTTTGGACATGATTTGGAGGGCGGCTGGTATTTATCAGCAGAGAATTGCTTTGGCGGAAGAAAAAATGAGCAGCGGGCTTGGAACGGAATTTCTTTGGAGGAAGCAAACAGTGATTAGCGGAGAAGCAGTAGCAGCGCGCGAAGCGAAACCCTTCACTTGTCGAGTACTGATTTGGAATTAAATTTCAGGCGATCATCGGGAATCAGGGTTAGAGAAAAGGGTTACTTTATTCGTAATTCTTTTTCCTATTTCTTGAATTCTAAGATGTTAAACCTAGAATTATTTGTTAGTTTGTTCTCCATGATCATGAACTAAACCCCAATTTCTGGGGGAAACACCATAGAATGTAGCTATTTCTATATTTGATGGATTGATTCGTATTTCTTTTCTTCCAATCTCTATTGCATGAAATTACTTAATGCTTTGTGTTGACTAGCCACCAATACAACGATTCGTAGTTAATTAGGTTATTAGCGACAGTGAAACCCTAATAACTGAACCTATTTCATGTGACATAGTAACTTATCGAAGCGACAGTGGATTAAATAAGGTGCTATGCGGTCTTAAGTAGGATATTGTTCTTCAGGCTAAATAGTTAATTCTTTGAGCTACGACAGTAGAATTTGAATTAATTGTTTAGTACGTAGTAATTCCCGACAGGGATAGCTAGCACATTCGTGATATCCTGGCTGTAGAGAGTTGGATTAAATTGATTGGAATATGTGAATTTATCTGGATAGGATAGGTAGTGAATCCCGGTGTTTCTCCCAGAGCTTTCTCCATTGAATTTCTCTCAACCATTTTACTTTGCTTAATTAGTTAATTTTGCTTTTAGATAATTAGTCTCATTAAACCATTTTCACCTATAGTTTGCTCTATAAAATTGAGAGAACTTAAGGTTGTACCAGTCCCTGAGAGACGATTCCCGGAATTTCCGGTTTACTACGAGATAGGAAATTGGCATATACGCTTTTGCCCTATCAAGAAGCGGAGAAGGAGAGGCGAAGACAAAGAAAAAAGTGAAAGGGGTTCGTTTTTAATTTTTAGGGTTTGGAGGGGTTAGGGCCAAAACGCAGGGAAGGGGTTCGTTTTTAGGGTTTGGAGGGGTTGGGCCAGGAGCTGACCCAGGGACATTTAGGGGTGTTTTGGAAGATTGATTATCCAACCTTGCGTGATAATTTACGTATAGACAAAAGTTATAATTAGTAGTCTGGAACACCGTGAAATTTGAACGATTATCCTACTCTCGTTTGTAGTTTGTGTATGGGAATATAAGTGGTAGTTTGGGTAATTTAAACCCGGGACACTACTATTACTAATAATATAATTTCCATCAGGCTACAACTTTTTTGTTGTTTTATTCTAAACACTGTGTAATAGCAAAACCCTATTCTCTATCTTTAATCATTTTCAAAACCTATACAATTAATCTAATTACAATCTACTCTTAATTTTTATTGATTTTACGGTTGTATGAAAAGTGTTAAAAGTGTCTTTTCAGTTTTAATTTACATCAAGAATAAATTTAGAATTCAAATATGCGTGAGTTCGTGAATAATAGGAATCTTGAATTTACACTTCTGATTACAGATAGTTTTCCATTGTAAGATGTATACATGAATTTTTGTGCGACCTGATTGAGTTGATCAAGTGAGCTTAATGAGAACCTAATTACCAGGGGGAAAAAATAGTTAAATCCATAGAAATAAATATAAAGAGCAATAAAATAAGATTTATGAGAAAAGTATTAGGTGCTGCCCAGGTGAGGTTTTCTTAGAATTTTCTAGTCTAACTAAACAATCCAAATTATTTTTAGGGACTAAACAATTCAATTAAATATACATGATCATTTTTTATCCCTATTTCGTCTTATTTTCATTCCAACAATGTTTCCTGCGAATTCTCATCCGTAGCAAACCAGAACTAGACATAGGCGGATCCAGAGCTAGTATAGAGATTATAAATTTTTCGATTTTAGGTATTCGGCTCAATATTATTTAATGGTCGGTCGAGTGCTATTTGATAATAAATTTTTTGTAGTTAGAAAAATGGTCTAGATGAACATATGCAAACCATTACTCTCAATTTAGTCTAGGAATTCTAGCCCGAATGATTTTCATTTGAAAAAAACAATAAAAATTAAAAGTCTAAAATGAAAAAGAGTGTATAAAGTTTCATTGACATAAGAAAATCCTCTAAACAAATTGATTTGTTGGTTGATTCGTCTAGTGTTGACCTTGCCCGTTTCAGCGGCTACCAAGGAGAGAACATTTTAAGCTATGAAATATGTTAAAACTAATTTGCACAACAAATGCTCGATGAATTTCTCGTTGATTGCTTAGCTATTTTCTTTGTGAGAGAATATGCTATTGATATTGATGATTCTATTATTATTGATGGATTTGCCAAATTAAAAAAACTTCTATTACAATTGGCATTGTAATGAATGAAAACTATTGTTATCATATATTTTTGGGTAAATAAAATTTATTAGTCAAACTTTTTAGACTTTTCAAATTATTAGTCAAACCTTTTGAAATACAAAATATTAGCTAAATCTTTTGTAACGCATCAAAATATTAGCCATTTGTCTGTTACCGTTGATAATTTTGTAACTATTTTTTTATTTGAAATACTTTAATTTTAAAATGTTGACTATTTTTGTTTACGATATATAATATTATATTAAAACGCAGCCCAGTGCTCTACTGTGTTCTGGATCCGCCGCTGGAACTAGATATATGCGCCATTTCTAGTATGCCATATACTATATACCTAATCTTAACAGTATGCCATATCATGTACAACATATGATTCCCCGTAAGGAAGCATTCTCTTGTATTAGTGATCAAAGAACACATAAGAGTAGTTAACATCAATATTTAATACTAGCACAGGGCCACGCTCGTTGGCGGAAGGGTATGGCTTGTTTTTTTTTTTTTTTTCAAAGTCAGTGATGAAGAGAGAGTCACAAGAAGAAAGAAAGAAAAGCGCGGGAGTCGACCAATAGTCGAACTCTCGATGAGAGGGCCTTTTGTGCCACATGATGGGCAGCCCTATTTAGTCGACGAAAAACAAAGCAGAAATAAATCAAGCTGAAGTGAGAAACTAAGCTCCGAGCATCCTCCAGTAGAGCTCCACCCCGATCTTGCGCCAAGTAGCCTCCCATCATCCCGCCGTATCAATTGTTGTGAATCCCCATGAAATATGACAGAGACAAAGGAATGTGTCAGGCACCACTGTATGGCTTCCAGTATAACAAATTCATAACACTTTCCGAAAGCAAAGAGAATATTACCTGACGATTGGAAACCCACAAAGCCAATACCACCTTCGTGACTATGCTCGACTATTGTGCAATTGAATCTTCACCTGCAAAATGAGCAAACATAGGCCCCTACTAGGACAATCCAGGCCAAAGAGCCACCTAGTCAACATAGACACAAGGCAGCATTTCACCCTTGAAATAGTGAACCAGGTCATCGGGGAACCAGATAACCGGCACCACCCGTTACACATCTAAACCTCTTTTTTTTTATTAAAAGGAAACAACCTAAATTTCGGGGGCCTAACAATCTGAACCGTCGACCAAGAAGCGTAACCGCCATCCGTGCGTCTCTTCCTCTGTCTCTCCCGTCTCCTCACCTTCCGTCCACGACCGTTCAGTTTCCAATTCCCGTCACCATCCCTTCGACTACCACCATCCTTCCGCCGGGACTTTCCAAGTCCAGCCACCGATCGGCGTTCCGATCCAAATCGGCAAACGCGTCCCAGGCCTCCTGAAGCGCATCCGCTTGAGATCGTTGCCTCCCATGGGGAGAGAGACGAAGGTAATCAGAACGCCCGGCTCCACCTGGGCCACCCACTCCTTGGCCTCGCGCTCTTCCACGAACACGATCGGCGGCTCCTCTTCACCCTTCTCCCCGAGTCAATTCCTCGTTCAGCCTTCCCTATCGTTCAGCCTTCCCTGGTGTTATTTAACAGATCCCTGAGGATGCTGATGAAAGGGGTAGCCCCAATTCCCAATCCCACAAGGAGAAGAACGTCATAGTTCTTGTAGTCTTGCGCCGGAGCCCCGTATGGACCATCCAGATAGAGCTTTGGTTGTCCTCTGTGATCTACGCTCCCAAGGTGACCGAATTTAGCTCGACCAATTATGGTCGATGAGTCATTTACCTCGGTGAAAACTCGCTTCAACTCCTGTGTCCAGTCACCCACTGTCCGGATATGGACACTCAGATACGGGTCTCCTGGTGCTGAAGTTATCGAAAAAGGATGCCTGCAGTTCAGAAGCAAACAACTGGAAGCAGGTAGCCAAAAAAGGTCTTGGTTTGAGTTGCGCGCATTCGCTCACCATTCGAAGGAAGAAATGGCAGGGCATTGCAGGAATATGTACTGCCCACTCTTGTACTTGAATCCCTGTGGCTTCGACATTGTTAAGCTGAAAACGTCTCCTGGCAAAACCGATACCCTCAGTATCTTAGCAGAGCAATGCTCTAATCTGCAAGTGCGCATGCTCCTCTCTGCCAAATACACCAGCAGTGGAGCTGAAATATACATCCATGTATTTCTCTAATCTGCAAGTGCGCTTGTTTTGCTTTTGCATAAGAGTTTGATATTTAAACAGAGGTATTAATGTGATAAGAAAGTAGTTCATTTTTATCTATATATTGTAAAAGGTTGGGTGACTATTTTCTTTTGAGATTTGCCAATGAATAATTTAACGAAAAAGTCATAAAATTAAATACCAAACAACGTATAAATAACATGCCAAAAATGGAATACATGTACCTAATATATACATTATATTCATTCTCTAATTTAACTACATTTTTGAAAAAAAAAGTATTGTTGATATAAAAAGTTGGTAAAGAACAACATATGGGTCATTTGGATGCAGGTTTTGGGTGTGGGATTTGGGCACAATCCCACATAGTGTGGGATTTTAATTAAAATCACTCGTTTGGAAAGCAATTATATGATAAGAGATTTTAAATATTAGAGATTTCAGAAACCCACAATTGTGGGATTATGAAATAGCTGATGGTCATCAGCTATTTTAAAATTCCACACAAATTCCACAAATTAAAAACCTGGGTTTTTTAAACCAGTGATTTGAGCCAAAATCCCACAAATTAAAAACCTGGATCCAAATGACCCCATAAGAGTTTCTTTCAATGAGATCTTCGAAATATAAAGATGTTTGTCCTTTGATGAAGTTTAGAACATCCATGAAATACTTTTCTCAAGTCATCGTTGTTGTTGATCATCGCAAGAAGTATAAATTTGGAATTACATTATATCAATGAGAAAGAAAAATTTGCAAATTGGTTGCCAATAGTTTGTTGAACAATGAACTCAAACTACTATCATATATTGAATTTGTCACTCAACCATGGAGCAGTTTCATTGAACAAAGTCATGTGATGTTAGGAGTTCAACCAATAATATGGGTGGATTAATGGATAGAGAATTATGACTATTCAGCAAATTAAGTACATCATCTATGGACCATCACCACCGGTTAGAAAGCAAATTGTTAGCATTTATACCAAGGAGATCCAAAAGTTTGGCTTAGTTGTAGTGAAGTTGATGGAGTCCCATCAATATGTTAGTAAGCAAATTGTTGTCGAGGAGCAATTCAAATATGTTTCCATTCAATAGTGAACACTGATCACTAAGGTTAGTCACTTATAAATCAAAACAGTGCAAATCCCACTTCATTCAAGTTTCATAGCGGTAATGACTTGTGTGAATTTGTTTAAGATATATTACCCAAATTCATTACTACATACATCACAACTATAAATCAAATTCATACTTCACAAATTACCCAAATAAATTACTATTTGAGTTTATTACCCAAAAACCTAGGTAAGAACAATTTTTACTCATTAGGGTTTAGAGAACAGTACAATGCTCCAAAAATTTATTGAATTCGAGATTTAGATGGTGTTTTATGCACCCACCTCATTATGATCAATCATTTTGCTTAGGTGGTTCAAAATCTTTAATCATAATACACTGAAAGTAATGAATGAATTGAAAAGAAAATATTTAAATAAAATTATTAGTAGCCAAACCATTTGAATTAGGTAAATTAATAGTTAGGGTGTGCCTATGGTGACATGCATGTCACCGTAACATGCACTTTTCGGTCGACCTATTCATAATCGCGGTCGACCGAATACACTAATGTGGGCAATATGATGAGTTATCACGGTCGACCTTTAAATGTAGTGGTCGACCGTTTGAGTTAAGTTGTGACATTACCGGTCAACCACAATAAAACATGGGTCGCCCTTTTCATTGTAGTCTGAAGCAAACTGGTCGGCCGTAAAAGTAACGAGGTCGACCACTTGATTGTGGTCATTACCAAAATGGTCGACCATTTACAGAAAGAGGTCAACCAGAAAGAAGAGTAAAGTGCTCTATCCATTTATCCATCCCTTTTTGACGTGAAATGAAGATCAAGTGTTGGTCTCGAGATCGACCGAATTAAGGAAATTTAGCCTGTGACCTTCGACTTTTTTGCATATGTATGTCGATGTGGGTGGTTCGTTTGATTGTTCAAATTACGTTTGATAGTCATTGGAATTACTCTTATATCATGATAGCAAGGACCCATAAAGTCTTAATATAACAACGTAACACACTAACAAGAAACATAATAAAACACACTTCATAATTGTTCAAATAAAACACACTTCATGAAATCGAAACCCACATAACAACAAAAAACATAAGCTAAAATCATGGAGTTCCTACGCCTCTTCACTCTTTGAAACAACAAATTAGGTCGATCTAATCCTATATTAGGTCGACCGAAAAGTGCATGTTACGGTGACATGCATGTCACCGTAGAAAAGTCCTAATAGTTAAACTTTTCCAAATACAATATAAAAATCGAATCGTTAACTTTTCATCCAACATGTTAGTTGATGATGACATGACAACTTAATTGCTGAGTTGGGTGAATTTCACTGATGTGACAAAGAGTCAATCAGCCGGTTTGACTACGTCACATGGATATTTATTAATTTTAACCTTATGATATATTAATTCTGAAAAACTAATAGAAAAATAATCATTCCACACATTCAAAAATTATATTGAAATTATCCGGTGGATCCGGATAGGGTGCAAACACCTCTTATACCATCAGGCTAACATAATTATTAGAAGTATTATGATAACTACTATATATAGTGGTTATTCACACCTTCCTTCCTCTTGTGTTTTCTGCTCCCACCAAGTCATCCTCTGCCCCTCCAATCCCCCTTATAAAAAAAGTACAATTTAATTGTTAAAAAAATATTATTTTACAATTAGAAATGTATTTTTATCATTTTATTTTTTTATTGATTTTCATCCTTTATACCTCTGAGTTTGCGTCTTGAGGCTTTTCTTTGAATTTTCTTGTTTTTAATATGTTTCATGAGAGGTCTATGGTGGTTGTGCATATTTTTCGTTTGCCTCAATGAATTTGTGGCATGCTTTATTAGGATTTTGGTATGCTTTATGAGGTTTATGGGTTGCTTAAGAAGAATTGTTGTATGCTTTTTGAGAATTTTGGTCTGTTCCATGGAACTTGTCATATTTGAAAATTCTGACAAAAACTCCAGACAAAACTTTCATATTTGAAAATTCTGGCCAAAATCTTGTTTTACGTCAAAATTTAATTCAAAATAGGGTATTTTTCCCTTTTTATAAATAAATGATGTGAAATACATGTCACAACCACCTCGTAACTGAATGTTGAGTTGTAGATGGAAGAAATGTTTGACATTCAATAACAACGGTCAATCATTTGAAAATTCTGGTCACAATTTTCTTTTACTTTAATGTTCAGGCAAAAATAAGGTATTAATCATTTTTATAAAAAATTGAGTCACTGATGAAAGAAATGTTTGATTATCAATATTAAGTATTAACAATCAACGCTAATTTCAAGCCAAATTATCTATTTGTTTCAAAATTTGGGAAAAACTATTTTATTTAAACATTCAGATTAAAATTGTTTTTATTTCAAAATTCATCAAAAATAAGACATTTTCCCTAACTAAAACTAATAGCTACGGTGACATGAAAGTGAAATCCGCATGATGAGCCCTCATGTTTTGGAAATTGGACATGGTCTTAGAGGTAACAAATGGATTGGGTCCACGGAGTGATGGATTTGATTGGTAGATCCATGGATCAAATGGATTGGTGATTCTTAGATTGAATCTTATGGATTGGTGGATTTGATCATGAATTCAAGTGACATCTAAACATTAGACCAATATGTAAATTTTGAAACTTTTAGTACTAAAGTTTCATAATAAAAATTTTAGGTAACGCGCCACATCAAATCAATCTCCGTCACCTGCCCCGAGAGAGAGTAGAGAGAGAGTGAGCGATTCTGGTGCACAAGGGTTTCCGATCATCTCTGCCCGTGGCCAGCTCCGGCACCTGCGCCGGAGCAGCTTCCATTCCCCCTCTTATTCTTTTCTTATGAGCGTTGAGAGTGTTGTTGTTTCTCCACCCGCAACAAAGACATCGAATGGTGATGTTAGGGGTATTCCGACGAAACCCTGGGCGTCACTATTCGGTATTTCTAAAGCGAATCGCCTTACGTATATCCCTCTGGAAGTAGTCAATGGGGGTCTCAGAATGCCCAAGGCGGTTCGTGAAGCGGGAGCGGCACGCTGGAAGAATTGCTTGGTTGCGAAATTTCTTCAGGATCCTCCTTCGCTCTATGTCCTGCGTCGTTGGGTCAACAAGCTATGGGGTAGGGACGGTTTGGTTAGGGTTTCTCTACTTTATGACAAGATGTTATTGATTCAATTGCCGAATCAACAGGTTTGTGAGTGGATTCTAGAGAATGGTCCTTGGTTTTGGTTTAACAATCTGCTCTATCTTCGTCTGTGGGTTCCTGGAATCAGCTTTGAAGATTTAGGCAGGAAGGCTCTTCCAATTTGGGTTCATCTGTCGAATGTTCCACTTGCATACAATGATTTCCAAGGGCTGATTCGTATTGCTAGCTGGGTGGGTGTTCCGCTGGGGGTTGACCATACTACTCGGGTAGGAAACAGACATGGATTTGCTAAAGTACTGGTTGAGCTTACTGTTGAGAGTGAATTTCCTGATCATGTCCTGCTGTGGCCAGATGATGATTCATCCATTAGGATTGGAGTCTCTTATTGCAACTTGCCTCCTGTTTGTTCAGTATGTAAGCTATTTGGGGTATCTGGGGCATGTGTAGCACATCATGGGAAACAGTGGGTGCCTGTGGCACAGAAAACACAGGAGGTTCTCTCTTCACCGGTTCAAGCAGCTGCTGAGGAGGAGGTGCTAAATGTCCCAGTTGCTACGCTAACAGAAAGTGGAAAGGGTAAAGAGGTGCAGGACAGTGTTGATCCCCAATTACAAGCTGTATTTACTAGTCCTTCACTGGTGGATGCTGGCAGGATTGCTCCTCAGAACTTGGAGAAGTCATTCTCAACAGTGGCTGGGTCTTCTTCACCTAAGTTGCCAATAGAGGATGAATTCCAAAGGGTTGTTAATGGTGCCAAACC